ATTTTGGATTCAGATTGTATAACGACGAATCTTTATCAATAGGCTTTTCATGTTTTAGAGACATAATTTCATAATTAAATGCAACTTGTGGTGTCTGTTTTATCTAATATAATTCTGCCTTCAATTTCTGAAGATGAGAGTTGGCCTGAAATTTTAGATTTCCTTTTATCAATGGTGTTTAAAAATCTTAAGACCCAAGCCGTAATATTGTTTGCCACCTTGTTTAAAGAACTAAAATTCTCTAATTTTAGTAGCGAATCTGGAAATGCATCAACAGCACAAGACAATTGTGTAAAATTTGAATTAGATTTCTTTTCGTCTAGAACATCTTTAGTGTCATTATTAACAGCGATATTTTCGGGTTTGGGCCACATGTGATTTGGCATTGATAACTATTCAGGACCATAAAACCATAACTTGTTTTCGATGAGATTATTCAGTTTTTCACCTCTGGTTAAAAAGTCACTTGGATTATCTTTACCCGGGATATGGTTCCAAATTTTGGCATCAGTTAAAGATTGAATTTTCATAACTCTATTCGCTACAAAGGGTTTCCAATTCAAAGGTGATCCCTTAACCCAATGTAGTGGGGTTGAATCCGACCATATGTAAATGTCCAAATTCTGGGAAAAACACTTTTTAGATATTTGCTCTTTCTTGCCATGATTAATGCCCCCATCAGGGCGAGGAATTGTTAGACGTTTAATGGGTGAGACTCTACATTTGGCTCAAATTAGACAGGTTTTAATTCCATTATCATTGGTGATGTAATGAAAATAGGTAACTGCTCCATAAGCCTTAGGGCTGGCATCTGAAAAAATATGAAATTTGTATTCTATCGGAAAATTCATAACCTTGAGGGAAATATTTTCAAGGTATTTCAAATTTATTAAAATGCACAAATTCCAAGATCCAGCCTTCAAAGTTTTCTTTCAAATCATTGGGCAAAACAGTATCCCATTCCAAACCTCGTTGCCATGCTTCTTGTAATAATTGTTGTTGAACAAAAAAAGGGGCAAAAAATCCTATCAGGTCAAGTATTTTCTACATAACCTTGAGAGCAACTGGTTTAGTTGAATTAAATTTCCAGCTATCAAGAAGGGATTGCATTTCAAAATGTAAAGTATCCGAATCGGTATCCCAAAGTAATCCCAATACTTTTATCCTATTGTTTGAATTCTCTCCTGAGTCACATAATTTATTTTTCTCCCACATTTTTCTAAGATCAACAGAATTAGTATTAAATTTCCTCAAATTCATTCCTGCCTCTTTAAAAATAGCTGAAGCAGTTGACGACAAATAGAAAGCTTCATCATTAGAATTCAAACCCATTATTAAATCATCTACAAAGAAGAATCTAAAATCTTAACCACTTTGTTCATTATATTTTCAAATATGATGTTTAATTGTATCTACCAATATGAAAGAACTGGAAGTTACACCAAAGGGTGCACGCGTAAACCTAAAATATTCGACATTGTCCTTTTCAACACTAAACCATAAAAATTTTAAATAATTCTGATCATCTTCAGTAATCGCAATTTGCAAAAATGCCTTCTCAATGTCGGTGCAAAATGCAACATTGAATATTCTGAAATATATTATAACATCAAGTATGTTTGGATTAAGATTAGGTCCTGGATATAAACAGTCGTTCAAGGAGTTTAAATGCTTTTCTTTGGAACGACGCTTTTTTTTTTTTTTTTTTTTTGTTTTTTTTTTTTTTTTTTTGTTTTTTTTTTTTTTTTTTTTTTTTTTTTTTTTTTTTTTTTTTTTTTTTTTTTTTTTTTTTTTTTTTTTTGTTTTTTTTTTTTTTTTTTTTTTTTTTTTTTTTTTTTTTTTTTTTTTTTAATTTTTTTTTTTTTTTTTTTTTATTGTTTGTCTTCTTTAAACGTCTATGAGGCATAAAATAACTATTTTCAATTATTTTATCAGGACACTTTTCAACAACTCCACTGTTTTCTTGTTCCAAAACAATAGCTTTATAATTTTTGCATAATTCATGATCTTTGTCAAATTTACGATTTAATTCATCAAAATGCCTTCTAGCTATTCTATAATTGTTCCCCACTTTAATTTTTTCATCCTTCCACATTAAACTTGTTTCGTATCTATTATTTAACAACTTCAATAAAATTGGACAGAGTAAATATCCGTAGCTGCCGGCTGTAACATCAAGAGAATTTAAATTTCTAATTTGAATTTCGGAACTATCATAGAGCTCTTGCAATTCCTTAACATTAGCAGCATTTTTTTACTTGCTTCAAATTCAAAAGTTTATTCATATGAGCATTAATTACTAAGTCTTGGTGACCAAAACGATTTTTTAATAAATCAACAGCTGAATTATAATTCTCTTCAGTAAGTGAAAAACCTGCAACAACATTATGTGCACTACCGACAAGTAGACAAGTAGTGATTTCAAGTATGAAAATTTATCAGTGGGAGTCAAATTTGAATTATTATCAATATCATTAGTAAATTGACCCAGAAGTCTAGCCAAGAACTAGAATCGCCATAAAATTTTGGTATTGTAAGTTTTGGTAAATTCACTGAACGATCGCCATTAGTGTTTAAAGCACTAGAATCATTTTTAATTGAGTATTTTGAGAAGCAGTAATTTGGTTAATCATGTTACTTTCATTTACAAATTTCGGGATTTTGTACCGTGATTCAATTATTTTCTCACTATAATTTTCAGCACTTTTCGATTTCTTTAATGAAATCGGCACCGGTATAAAGATCTTGAATATCTGAATTTAATTTCTTTAAAATTTCATATTTCTCATTCAATCGATCTTTGCATATATTCAAAAGATTAAACTTTCCTTCTAATGCTATTGATTTGTTTTCAAGAGTGGTATGTATTTTATTACATAATTTCATTGTCTGAGTTCTCATCCTAGTATGCCTTTTAATTAGAGTATTGATTTTTATTGTCATTTTAAGTTAAAAGTTTAATTTAATCAATCAAAAATTATCATAGAAATGATAAAACAGCTGATCTTGAATCGAAACAATCCAATCCTGTCGTGGACACCAACAAAAATGAAGATGCGTAAGGTAAGCTTTCATCAATCTTGTTCAGATCAAAATAAATAGACTTTCAAATTAAACTAAGTTTTATTAACAAATTAAAAAAATTATCATTATTATTACTGAGGATTTAATCTCGGGTTCAAATCAAAACTAACCGGATATAGCGCCGAAGACTCACTTCAAACCCTTATCTAATCTGATCTGCTAGACATACAAGAAGAAATATATAGGGTTACATTTAAATACTTGGCGAGAATAAATCGGCACCACAGCACAATACAAGGGTGTTGCAACATGTGGTTTACTCTGAATTGAATATGGTATGGATTTTAAACATATTTATTTTAATTTATTTTGCATTGTATATATATATATATACTAGACAAAAAGTAAGAAATTTTGAACCCAATTCACAAAGGCATGAAAAAATAAAATCCTAAAATTGCCAAATAAATTTTTCAGCAGTATATTGCGCAACATGTTAATTTTTCTGTGGCATGTTGTGCAAAAATAATGTTTGGATATTTTTGCTTTAAAAAAAAATTGTGAAACTGTATATATATGGCATTCTGATAAGCATGAGTGATTTAATTTGTCTTTTTATTAAGAAAATCATTGCTTCATGCATAATCTTTTAGATAAAAATTGTTTCATTTGTAATTTACTTTAATAATTCTGACAAATTATTATATGGCTAAAAACGCTAAATGGCAAAAAGCTAAATGGACTAACTGAAAAGAAACCTTATTTTTCTTTTCTCAGAATTAAGAATGCAACAGTACATAACACTTAAGATTATTTGTATATATTTTCATATTGACTTCAGAAAACATCTCTGAATCTCTTATATAGTAGACCAGCATTTCTCAAATTGTTTTCAAATAGGGATCACTTTTATAAATTAAAATATTCTTTGGACCACGTAATTCTTTTCTCCTTTAACAGCATTTTTTATCTTATGTTATTACTAATACAGTTATATTTTTTAAACACAGTTACTTAAAATTAATTTTATTTTATACTAATAATTAATTAATCTAGGAGGACCACAAATCGTGAGATGATGATTTAAAGCATTATGTTACGTTACAAATTCATTTGTTGCTTAAGGCCTGGTATTTGTTACCATTATGTGAAACATGTATTTGTTACCATTATGTGAAACATGAGTTCTGTAATTTATCTTCTGCAAAGCCTTGCAAAAAGTTAATTCTATGAATGTTGCAATTTGGCAACACTCAGAGTGTAAAATCTTTATCTTTCCCATTTAATAGCTTTGTAATTGTCTAACTGAAGGATTTAAAAGCAATAAACTGAATTTTTAAGAATGATTTAAATGACCTTAAGTTTATTTTTAATCATATTTTGATGTATATAATGCACACTTGTAATAGATGGAATTGATAATTATGAACATTTGCAGGATTGTTGTGACATGTTTCTGATTTCATATATTATATACATCTGTATAGAATCATTTGGTTTAACTGAATTTTCATCCAGTTATTAAAATATTTTAGCCATTTATCTTTAGTGGATTTTAAAAAAGTGATTTTTAAGAATTAAGTTTGACTTTATCTAAAACATTTAAATGTCCTTACAAACTTTAAAATGTGGAAACCAGTAAACAAGTTCAAAACATATAGGAAAGATAACATGGAGCCATATGAAAAAAAAAAAATCTTCAGTTTCCTAAAAATATTTTTTACTTTTTTAATTAGTTACAAGAATCTTTAAACCATAGAAAGCTATTAATGCTTTTCTGACATTCCAAGGAAACTGTGATTATGTTTTTACGTATGCAGTTATAGCTTCTATAATTTAACTTTTTATGATGCTTATAGTTATGCTCCTATTAACTATTGAAATATAACAATGTTTAATAATGCTTCATTTAACAAATGAAATATACTATATGCTTATCTAAATTTTAGAGATCTGATGCAAATTTAATTCTTTAGCTCGCAAACAAATGAAATCTATAAAAGGCCATAAATCAGAAAATGCTGGAAAGTTTGATGCAAAAAAAGGAACTTCAAATCGGGACAATGATGAGGGCCTTTCCTGTTCTGAAACTGCTACATCTAGTAATAGCAATCAACAAATAGAAAGAGATTCTTTGACTGAGAAAAAGACAGATGTCAGTTCTGAAAAAGAAAATGATAAAGAAGAACTGCAGAATGGAGATTCTTCTATTAAAAGTAGTAGAATTCACGTTTCAGTAAAGGAACAAGAAGAAAAAACTGCAAAGTCTTCAAAGAAATCCAATTCAATTCAAGGTTTCTTTGGTAAGTAAAATAAGATTTAGTTAATATAGTATTTCAGTAAAAAATATTTTTCTCCCCCTTCTTTTCCTCCTTTAAGTGTAAAATTTAGGCAAGCATTATATTCTATCTCAAATATTTAAAGAAATAAAATAGATAAGTACCATATAATTTCACTTGGTTTTCTGATCATGCTATATAACTCTATGTGAGATAAAATAGTAAGAATTCAAATTTTTTTTCTTATAGCAATGAATTTATGTTTAATTTTTATGCAGTTAAATTCACCAATATCACTCTATCACTCTTGAAAAGAAATTCTGTAGCAAAAATATAGATTCAAGTGAAGTAAGACGTATATTATAAAACTGATTACTTTTGGAACATTTCAGTGTAAAAACTTTAAAAATTTTTTTAGTGGTTCAAAATAGATTGATGGTTTATTTAGTGCATGTTTTCAAAATTTATATTATCCAATATGGATAAAAAATTGAGTTAATGTGAAGTGGAATGCACCTTCACCAGTAACTCTAGACATCAAAATTAGACAGAAAGAATCCTTTTGTGTGTTAAATGTAATTTTTTTACCCTAACATAGCATTTTTACCACAGTATCCAATGTTTAAATGTATTACCTCAATTAGTTAATGATTAATTACTTGAAAAAAAAGAAAAGAAGAGGTGGTACAATGGAGTCTCGCTTAGAGCTACTGTAGCAATCAAATGCTAAGTATTAGTTGATATAATATATTATTTATAACACTAAATAGTCTAGTTAAGAATGGAAGTAATGATAAAAGCTAATATCTTGTGTAAATAAATCATGAACTAAAAAAAAAAAAAAAAATGGTGCGAAGAAAAGACATTTGTGAAGAAAATTTGTATCAGTAATATTAAATGATATCCGTCCTGAAAAATTTGCTATGACAATCTAGTATTTGTGATGCTGGGTTTATATGTGTGTATATATTGCAATACATTTGTTTTAAAATTGTTAAAGGAAAGAACAACTGAAGTTGTTCTGTAAATTGAATTTTTTATTACAGAATAAAAGTAAGTAAAATTTATTCTTTTATTTAGAACCCAAAAATAAATCTATTCATGCCAGTCCAGAAGTTGAAAGTTCTAAGAAAAAAACTCAGAATTGTAGGTCTGTATTATTTTGTTTTGCCAAACCTTATTTTACATGCTTGTTATTAAGAATGTTTTATATTGCATTTTCACTTATTATTCTTGTGGTTTTTAGTTCATCTTCAGGTGGATTACTTTTTGATCCATCAAAGAATAACTATCACCCCATTGATGATGCCTGCTGGAAATGGAAAGAAAAAGTTCCTTATCTTGCTCTTGCAAAAACATTAGAATTAATTGAAAATACATCAGCAAGGTTTGAAAGTGTTTTCTCAAAATATATCTATTTGTCCTACTTTAATTTCATTACGTTAATTTAAAATTTTATCTCTCCTTTTCCACATCTAGTTTATGTCTTTAAGAGGTCAAAAAGATATTTTATTTCCCCATATAACTAACAATACAGTCATTCTTCACATGCAGAAAAGAAAAGTATTTCTTCATAGAGCATGAATTATTAGTTAAGTTCATGGCATCAGCAAGGGAAAAAAGGGAGTGCTTTAAAATTGGGAAATTATTCTTGTACCAAGGAAGTATTTGATAGTATGTCTATAGCAAGCACAGTGGCGTAAATAAGGGTATGCAAAGAATACTGCTGCATAGGGGCCCGAAGGCTTAGGGGGGGCCTTGAATGCCCTACTGAACTACATTCACATGGGTAATCTTAAAAGAAGACCGATTCTTTTATAAATACTATGGCCAAGGGCAAGGGGCTGTAATAAAAGTTGAATTCAGTGTTACATACATCAAAATGTCGGATATTATATTTCAACGAAAGTATCCATTTTGATCGTTCCCAAATCCATTTGGACAGGTTTTTGTTTCGTGACATCTGTTGGCACGGACAGAATAAAGGGCTCTTCTTTCCAAAAAGGGTTATAAAATGGGTTTAAAATGGATTCAAAAGGGACTTTTTTCGTGCCATCTGTAGGTTCACATATACATATATACGTATGTATATCTATCTAACTCTCTCTCTATATATATATATAGAGAGAGAGAGATGGATATATATGTAAGATAAAAAATATGAAAGCAAACTTCTAATTTTAATTGGCTATAACCTCTTTTATTTTTTACTTAATTTAGAGACTTCATCTCTCTATCTTAAAAATAGCGCTATGAGTCTAAATTGCATCATTCAAATTAATCTTGCGATGCTACATAACACATAATGCAGAGACCTCTTGCTCAGTCAAACAATTGTAAACCAGAACTTTTTCTGTCTCGAACTGAAACTTTTGACTCCCTCCCTCTGAATACCTGCAACACTTTTCGCTTGTGCTTTCATCCTCACAAGAAGCTGCTGCAATCATCTATGCTCGCTTCTATCGCCTTAGTATCAAAAATGTAAATGCTCTGGAAAGATGCACCATTGGAGTGCCAAGTGAATTGTGGCCATGAATGTGACTTAATCACTAAAGGCTATGAAGTGAAATAAAAAAGGAAAATAATCCGGCTCGACATGTTCCTCTTTAATATGGATCAAGTATCTACTCTAAAGAACATTGCTACGTTTCTACGTCTCACTGTTCTCACATCAGTGCTTCGAAAATTGTGCTATCATTACATATATAGAGATAGATAGATAGATAGATAGAGATATACAGTCAAAAGTCGTTAATTCGGACACCCATAATCCGGAATGATCTATAATCCGGACCTCAAAGCTACAAAAGCCTTGACGCATGCGCGTAAGACCTTTACGGTTGCACATATGCATGTGCACATGCGCGATTGATGTATAACGGACGGTATAAGCTAAAATTATCTATTTCAGTTAATGTTGCAGATTGCGTTGTTCCTTAATCTTTGAATTGGATCCGGCTTATTGTTTTCTGCAGATTGTTAGAGCAATTTTATAAAAGTAAGCTTGAACTTTCTATTATGTCAAATAGAATTTCCGATGCTGGAGCTCCCAAAGGACCTGCAAAGCGAAAGTATGTTTCCATGTCCATCAAACAAAAAGTGGAATTGCTGTAAAAAATGGAATAAAGGCATATCCTTTTTTTTCTCTAACCATTCCTAAATCTGTTTATCAATTTCAAGCTGCTCTGTGGCGGGTTGGGGAGGAGAACGCCGCGGCGCGCAATGAATTGGAAGTTGATCTGTCAGCACTATCCTTATCTTCAGGGCAGATGTTTTTATTTTATTTGGCTTCTGATTCCTTACTAAATGCAGTATTTCATCTCGATGTACTCTGTCTTTGATATGATTTAAATCAAATTCCTCGTCATTATAATTCGCTTCCAATAGTGAAGAAAGTGACACAGAGGTTATTGAAAACGAAAAAATTTCGACTGACAAATTAGTCAGTATTCTCGACACAGCAATTATAGGATTGAATAGCGGAACTTTGTAACTGAACAAGAAATTATGTCTGTTTATAGAATTAAAGAGAAAGTATTATCACATAAAACAAAGCAACTTAAACAACTTACATTGAAATAAATATTAAGTTTTTTTTTTTTTTTTTTTTTTTTTTTTTTTTTTTTTTTGTAAATTTTGGTACCCTTTAGATCATAATTGCTCTTTATTTCATAAATTACGGTTTCATATTTTTAATTTTATAATTTCTGCATGCCATCTTACCAGATTTAAACTGATGATCTATAATCCGGAATCGCCGACGTCCCGACGAGTCCAGATTAACGACTTTTGATTGTATATCTCACATAACTCAAAGACGATTATCTATAGAATGTTGACATTTTGTATATGGGACTGCTATAATATCTAGTTGTGCTGTGCACTTCACGTTTTTAGTGCAATTGTCAATATCTCTGTCTCTCTCTCTCTCTATATATATATATATATGTATATCCACCTTCTTACCCAGCTTAAAAGTCCTTACCCGATTTTTAGTACTTGGTCGTAGCCATAGTGTATAGTGTGCCATGTAAGTGTTTTAAATGACGAAAAATATTTTGGCAATGTCAAATTTTTAAAAAAAATTGTCGACATATAACCAAATTCAAATTTTCCTTCGGTCTCTCGATTCTTATATTTGGTAAAGTTTTATACTCACCAGAAAAATAAATTACATAAGTTTGACATTTGTGCAACAAAAACTGGCCGAGATATTTAGTTCAAAATTTGCAATTTTTGATGTCATTTTCTTCTTGCCTTTAGACATCGGTTAATTAAATTAGAATCATTCAAGAAAATAAGTTTAGATGAAGCACAGCAAAAAATGTGTATAATTTAATAGGCTGTACTAGGAAGTCATGTGATATCCATATCAGATATTTTAATTATTAATTAAGATCTAATAAAAATCGTCCTCAAAATGTTGGCTCCTGGAAACATCGATTTTTTTTTTTAAGGGGGAGTATGTAAATTTATTACGGAGCCCAAGAAATATTTTTGCATTAGGCCCAGGAGTTCTATTTATGCCACTGAGCAAGCAGATCATTTCTGAAATGCTTAATGCTTCAGCTGTTGGTAAATGATTAAATGTACTGTTGAAACTTCCTATTTTTTAAGCCCGTATAAAATAAAAGAAAAATTATAATGCTTTTTAAAACCTAATCATTGCTTCTGCATTTTTATCTCAACTCTATTTTCATAACAACTTTTTAATATATATACACTAAAATGGCAAAATAAAAGCTTTTTGATTTTATAGTTAATTTTTAAAATTCTTAAAATTTTATTGACATGTACATTGAATTAGATGTAAAAATGCTTCTGTGGTCAATAAAAATGAGGAATAGTTCTGAATGAAAACTGAATATAATTTATTATTCATAAATTAATACATACCTTTAAAAATGAGTTTGTACAGCCTCAAACCATAGCACACTTATGCCAATTTTTCTCCCCTCCCCTTCCAATCCTCAAAACATGGTTTAAAATCATTTTAAATGAAACCCGTTTAGGATTGAATGAACTTTCTTATTGCTTCAGCAGACTCAACATGGCAATCTTCAAGCAGCAATTTTGAGCTTGGAAATAAGGAAAAAGTCCCACAGCCACATTTGATAAATATAGAGCTTGTGTGACCATATTTGTTGAATTTCTTACCCACACATTCATTAATAGCAAGAGTTTCATGAGCAAATGTGTTACTGTGGTACAAAATGAATTATCTCACCAGATATTTGGCCATTTCTTATCAATTACATTATTCAAATGTCACAAAATAGTATTCTTTTTACTCAGATAGTATTCTTTGTTATAGTCTGAAGTGTTAGTAGAAGTTCATGATGTGTACCATGACAGTCAAAAAAAAGCTGTCGATATATTATCTTGATTTTTTTTAATGACTTTGACAACTGTTCTTACATTGCTTCACCTTTTGAGCACCATTCACTTGATTGTTGTTTCTCTATCAAAAGCAAGAATCTGTGTTTCACTGCCAGTAATTATGGGTTTTAATAAGAATTTGCCTTGCAAAACTGTCTCTTGGTCGACTTGAATACATTATTGCTTTTGGAAAAAATTCAATGACTTTATAACTCCTCAAGTAGCAATTCACTGTAGGCTCAAATTATCATCAGTATTACTTGACAAGATCCAAGAATGACTCTCACTTCTGTCAAAGTCGACTTCTTTGACACGAACTTGTTCAGTAATACCCCGAAATGTTAAACAGCTATTACTGAGCACCAAATCTTTATCTAATTAATGTGTTACTGATTGGTTGAAATTAATGTGCCTAAGTATAGTTCATCTTTGATACAATTTCTGTCATTCTTAAAACACTTTATACCAGTGGTGTCAAACTCAGATTGCATGCACTCTGAATGCACAGTCTGAAAGCAGCTGACAGACAGGATTTTTTTTCGTATGAAATAGAAAAAAATTTAAATAAAAAAGTTTTTATCTATAGGATTTCTTCTTCCCATAGGTCTCACATTGTTTTCTCAGTTGGACAAAACTTACAAACAAACATTTGGCAGCAGTCCAGCATTTGGAAAAATGTGCAGCAATACAATTTCTATTCATTTTTGCAAACTAGATGAATTTTAATTTTAATTTGATTCTTTAAGATAATCTTTTCTGTGCAAAAATGACAGAAATTTGTAACAAGTTGAAGCACGTATAACAACGCATGCCATGTATGCATTATTGATAGTCTTTCATCATTAGTTTTGTTCATTGCTGACCATTTGCGCTTCTTTTGGCTTCTTTCTTTTTGCCGCTGCTGTATAAGATGTACCCAGCTTTTAGACATAAAATTTTTAAAGAAAAAGTGTATCGTATACAGGGGCAAAATATAGTTTAGAAATATACAGTTTTGTGAAAAATCCAGTGTGTGCTGCGCTTAAATTTTGCCTATTAATGTGTATTATGAACGCATTTGCACTCAATTAAGCTTTTAAAAAAACACTTTTTTTTTTCCTTGCTGCTACCATCTCTGAATTAATAATTTTAATACTTTTTCTCTCAAATGTTTTGCATGTTTCTTATAATAGGATTATAAAAATGATCTCTTTTTCAGAAGTGAAGGACTTAAACTATTTAACAGTATTTTCATGATTAAAATGAAAAATAAAATTTTCTTTTTATAAGTGAGCAATCACATGTTGACTGAAAGCAGCATTATGAAAATTATATTTTGTCCTTTCGCAATTTCAGATTGAAGATCATAGACATTCTATCTAATTTTTTCCGTTCAGTGATAATTTTAACTCCAGATGACCTGTTATGTTCTGTGTATCTGTGTCTTAATCGCCTGGCTCCAGAATATGAAGGCATAGAATTAGGAATTGGTGAAACTCTCTTAATGAAAGCTGTAGCTCAAGCTACTGGACTATTTAACTCAAACTATTTAACAGTATTTTCATGATTAAAATGAAAATTAAATTTTCTTTTTATAAGTGAGCAATCACATGTTGACTGAAAGCAGCATTATGAAAATTATATTTTGTCCTTTCGCAATTTCAGATTGAAGATCATAGACATTCTATCTAATTTTTTCCGTTCAGTGATAATTTTAACTCCAGATGACCTGTTATGTTCTGTGTATCTGTGTCTTAATCGCCTGGCTCCAGAATATGAAGGCATAGAATTAGGAATTGGTGAAACTCTCTTAATGAAAGCTGTAGCTCAAGCTACTGGACGCACGCTTGAAAAGATAAAAGCAGAAGTTGCTGTGAAAGGTGATTTGGGTCTAGTGGCTGAGGTATGTTTCTATTTATGACAATTTTAAATGACTTGAATAAGTTTGGTTACAAAAATGAATGCATTTTAAGGAAGCATATAATAATATTTAACTGTGTCTTTCATTAAAGTATGTGTAAGTTTTCGTTTTGTGAAGCACATAATACTTTATCAAAAGCAATATTTTTATCTGATAAAATTGCTAAAATCTGAAATGTACTTAAAATTTTTTAGTACATAGCTGTGAAGTCTACCCTTTTCCTTAATATTTTTGAAGAACAGGTTATGTTGATAATAAATGTCTAACAAAAAAGTTCTGCAATTTGTTGACTTTTTACTGTTTTGTAAAAAAAAAATTTAAAAAAAAAAAAATCTATAACATAAGAAATTTCTTTTATTAACTATGCTAGTAGTATTAATATTAAGAATATCATTGATAACTTGCTTAGCTAGTTATAAAGAAATGTTGTCATTTTTCTGTGTGGATGTGATAATGTTGACAGTTGACAGAATTGAAAAACTACCAGACTGCAAGCAGATAGCCATTGAGGCTTTGCAGTAATATCATAAAGCAACCAAGAAACCTACTAGACTGTATGATTGATAAATGGGTATTCAGGAATTGATAACATATCGTAACACAACATAAAAAAATAGAAAATCTATGAATGTTTGTAATTATGTGTGCTAATTATTTTGATATTTGTTGAAAGTATCTATAAAACTATCATATGACAGAGGGAATTTAAAAAGCACTTGTAATTAATAACTAAATATAATGCATTATTTAACAAATAAGCTTTCATTATCACCTTATATAGAGATATAACTAAATGTTATATTCATTTAGTTAAACTTCTGCATATACACTTTCACATTAGTACATCACTGTTAAATGTCATATTAAATTAGATAATGATAATAAATTAGTTAATAAAAAAACTAAACTCAGTGGCGCTTAATAAAAAAACTAAAGTCGGTGGGCCACGGCCTGCAGTGATCCCGAAATCTGCTTTCTTGACCTTGGGACCCCGGTTACATCAGCATATGCCCTGGGCAAGTAAGTGGTCAGCTTGTCGCAGGACCCCCCGGTGTTTAGTCCCCAAGTGAACTTGGTACTCATTTTATCGACCCACTCAAGGGATGAAAAGCTGAGTCAACCTTGCAAAGCCCAGAAATCGAACCCCAGACCTGTGGTGCAGCTGCGCGACACGCTAGCCACTGCGCCACCGGGCTTCAAATTAGTTAATGTTAGATGTCAGAGAAATTATGTGTGTGTGTGTGTGTTGGAGGGGGATATGTGAGTGAGTTGTAGGATAAACACATTATTTATGTAAAATGTTAAGTATATTTGAAAGATAATTTTCAAATACTTTTTACAAATTGAATAATAAATTATTTTTTGTCTCTGAATAATTGATGAACAAAGTCATCTACAGCTATGAATGTTGTGTTTAGCTAAGTAAATGTTTCCTAAAACATAATACAAATTGCAATACCCATACTGGCAAAATACAGAACTTCGTAGTCCTTTTTAAAAATTATGAGAGTTATGAGTAGCAAGCCAGTTATAAAATCATGCTAATGTATAAAGTCATAGTGATCGTCATGACTTAGTGAAGTGATATTCTGCATATGGATATGATAAATAGTTACCCATACAGCGTAAAATGTCCAAATTAATGAACACTATTTTGTTTACACAAAATGGAATTTTTTAAGCAAATGTGTGTCATATCAAAAAACAATCATGCATTTTGTGGCGTATAATGTGATTCAAGTAAGAAATAAAAACAAGGTGCCGCGCAGATGGTATAGTGGTTAGGGGAGCCTGACTGCGATAGCGAAGGGCCTGGGTTTGAATCCCAGATGAAGGCATGGTTGTAACTGTCCATCCCTTCATAGGAGGCAATGGTGGCCCACCTATTAGATGCCTCCATAAGAAAGAGACCACCACATCTGGCCTTAGTGTAGATTAATGGACTCTGTTACAAACTGTTCACATTCTGCCATTGGAAGGGAAATAAAAACAAGGGGACCAGATGTACACCGAGTTTAAAAAAGAGGGACAGTTTTATACTTCCATTCTACTTGGCCGATTGACAAAATTTAACTTAAGTTTTTCATGTCTGAAAAGCATAACTTAAAATATATAATAGATTTATAAATAGCATTGTTTTACCATACCTATCGTTTGGACCGTGATCTAAAGCATATTTACGTGTATAAATGTTTTGTTGTTTTTTTTTTTTTTTTTTAGTTTAATTTTATTTATTTGATTTCCATTTCTTTTGAAAGAATATTTTGTGTCCCAATATTAGTCATAGTGCTTTTGAAAACTGAATATTGTATTGAAAAAGAGAATAGTACAAGCAGTTGGTCTCAGTCTAGTGATCTGCACACTGCATGCAACTCCTAAGCAAATTTATGCAGCTCGCAGATACTTTTCACATATGTATTTGTTGCAAATAATTATTTGAACTTCACATTTTCATTACCATTAAAAACTAACATGAATAATGAGCTAAAATTTTTATAAATTGAGCTGATTAATTTACAGTGTGATATAAATTATTCAAAGATTTAAAGAAATAGATTTGATTCACTTTTATTCATATTTTAAAAAAAATAAGTAAGTTCAGTTATGAACTTGTGCACTAGAAATAATTAATTTTTAGGAATGCATTAAATGTGAACAGCTGTTTTTTTTTTTTTTTTTTTTTTTTTCACAGTTGAAAATTCATAAAAAAGGAACCAATTGACCAATGAGCATCTGCAATCTGTTATGAAGATAATTTCTAGTAATTTTTCTCCAGTGCACACGTACAATATGAATAAATTTTGTGCTTGCATACAAAATTTACACTTATTTACATACAAACATATGTATTTTATTTGTCAAAAAATTATTAAATAAGAGAAAGATCCAAAATCTCATGATTTATTTCAAGTTTCGTCCTACTTATAAAGTTTTCATAATTTATTAGTCCAAAAGGTCTTTCTCCCTGAAGGACTATTGTTTTCTTTTGCAAGCTTTGAAAACTTTAAAAGGCTGTATCACTTTTCAAATCATTGCCACCAAATACTATCACCCTGTATTATATTTGAAGAAATTAAACAATCAAGAATCTTCATATATGTATGCATGTTTCTCACATTGTAATAAAAGAACGGTACCTAGAGCAATCCAATTTTGAATAACGTAATCCTATTGTGAATATGGGCATCTGAAAGCCCAAATTTGAAACTTGGAATTTGTTTTATTATCGATTTCATGTTTTGTAAAACTTTAACAAATTAGCAAACTCAACGATTTAAAAAGCGAGCAATGGCAACACTCTACGGGGGGGGGGGGGGTCTTTTTATCTCCAGGGCTTGGAACTGTGTATCAGAAATTCTAAAGATATGTTCATTTTAAAATTATTTTGAGACGTTGTTGAACTGAGTTTTATGGTTTAAGTGCAAAGAACATGATATTTAATAAATAAAGGTAACACACTAAACGTTAAAAAACACCCGTTTGGACATAATTTAAAATCTGAAACCTTTCAGAATTTCTTTTATTATTTTTAAATTTAAATTAAATATTAATAATTAAACAACTTCAATTTAAACTAAGGTTATTTAATTATTAATTATTAATTAAATATAGAATTATATGAAGTAAATATTTAGCTCTTAATATTTTTTAACTGAAGTGTAACCAACAGTGTCTTGCAGGTACCAAACTTTAGATTTGAATTTTTTCCCTTTGTGTTATCATTATTGCCCATGTATTTTTTGATAAATATTTAATAAATGAAATTTAAAATTTACTTAAAATATCTTTTATGTATTTATTTTTATAAATTTTCATTTTGCTGAAAAAAATTGTGGCCCATCAGCTGTTCTCAGATTGTGCATTCATCCTGCATGTAATTTCAGTTTGAGACGACTTTCCATAAAGCACAATTAATACATCTTTTAGTGGGCATTCAGAAAAAAATTAATATAAATGAGAAAGTTGTTTAACAGACATTTAATTTAGAATGGTATACATGAATACAATTTTCCATTGCTTTAAGTTCAATTTTTTTAAAGTACAAAAGTCAAATAGCATAATGTTTAAAAAACTAAATTTTATTGGAAAATATTATTTTTTCTTAATAATGCTTTATTGCTTCAAGAAGACCTTTCTTAAAGCATTCTGCAAGTACATCCACAATCATCTTCCTTTTTTTTAATTGCCTTATGCCATAAACACTTTTGAAACCGCTTGGTTTTTTGTAACATTCTTGTGAGTAAAGGAATCACCTTCCGTTTCATCAGTATTCTGTCAGAGTAAAATTCTAAAGTGGTTTTGTCCATGATGCTGAATGTCTTTAGAGGCTAGCCATTTTGAAGGCATTAGATAAGAGAGAAGACCTTTTTCATCAAGAGTGAAAATGTCTTTGGCTGATATCCATATACCTCTTTGTATACATTCTTGAATCTTTAACAAATCTGACTGAGACAGCGTTGGATTTATGATAATGTCATTCTTTTATGCAATTAAAATTTATACCGCCACTCAACTGAAAAACAGCCGACCTTCATATTTGCCTGCAATATTATTTCTTGTGTTTTTCCATTGAAATGTTTCTCACATCAAACTAAGTGAAAACCTTTAGCAAAAAATAGCAAAGCACTTTTAGCACGTATTCCCTTGAACAATAAACTTCTTTGAAGCAGGGTTTCCCCCCCCCCAATTTCTTTCTTCCAGAAACATTTGCTTTCAATTTTGATGTTAAGAATAATCAGTTTTTTCAAAAGTTATTTTTATATAAATTTTGTATTCTTATCAAATTCTCTTGAAATTTTAGTTGTATCTTTCAAGTAGACTTCATCATTTTCTAGACATATTAGTTGCAAATTAAACTTAAGCACAGAGAACAAGTAGTTGAGTTAAAAGATGCATACCAAATGACAATAAAGAGATGAGACCAAATGACAGAGCAATAAAGTATTCTGTTCAAACAGAACTTGGCATTTAATTTGTTCCAC